TATTTAGAGTTTTTATCTTTTGAGTATGAGTTATTGACAGTGACACCAAAAATACTGATAGACTATAANGACTTGAAGTTATTTGAGGATATATTTAGAGTTTTTATCTTTTGAGTATGAGTTATTTGACAGTGACACTAAAAATACTGATAGACTATATNTAGAGTTTTTATCTTTTGAGTATGAGTTATTGACAGTGACACCAAAAATACTGATAGACTATAAATTTATATTTATTTTATAATTTGAACGAGGTTGAATGGACCCGAGCTCGAACCCTAAATGGAACTATAGATGCTAGGCATCTGATCTCCTTCTACTTAATTTGTTCATATGTCTCCAAGTGTGTTGCAAGCATATGCTTAGGACTGTATCTATCATTGTCCCAAGAGAGCTTGAATTGAACTGTGGGTCTCAATCTGATAAAGAGGGTTCTTATCTTGAAAGCCAAGGAAGGTGCACAGAAATGCAGTTTTTCTTGGCTGAAGATAGCAAGCATCATGCTTACCAACAGACATGGGCCTACAATTTTCAAGTGCTTGACAGAAATTGCTTATGTTTGATTGAAGGTTGTTGAGGTTGAGTGTGGTATAAGCTTGGTTGAAAGCAAATTACTCTCACTTATTGGATCTTGATTCCTTCTAACGCAAACTTTTCCTCAATATCTCTCAACAACGGATCCAATTTAAATTTACATAAAATGATCTACCATGCAAGAAAATTACAAAAAAAATTTATTGTATTGATGGAATCTCACTCCCACCTTACACATACTTGAAAAACCAGATGCATTGTTTCCTTATTGGTTTAGCAGATTTACTATGAATTAGATCTTCGGCAAAAATTAGATTTCAATAATGCTATTTGGACCAAATCTATTGATCAAATTTAGTAACAAAATTTTGTTCTATTGTGATTTGAGTGTCACAAGTTTTAGAATCGGAAAAAGACTACTCACATCTAAGGTGTAAAGCTCACTTGGGTGGCAAGAAGTGCTTGGATTTTCTTCTAAAATCAAAGTGTTTTGGCTAGGTTTAGTAGGCTTTTGTTGAGGTAATACATCGGTGTCTTAATTTGCATCATGCCAACACCAGTTGTTGTAGAAAGTCTGGAGGGTTTATGTCAGTTCGACAATTGAATGCTTTTTGATGTATACACAGATAATTTTGGTATAAACTTGGCTTGTTATGACAACAACCCCTCAATAGACACCATGTGGGTGCCTTATCTTCCCCTATACCTAACAGTAGGGCTGCACATAGGTTGTTTATAAACAACTCGAGATCAGTTCAAATATGTTGGTTAAAATTTGTATATTCATCAAACGAATTGAGCTCGAGTTCAATCTTAAAACTCATTTAGTTAAGGACTCATTAGGCCCGTGAACACTCACACACACACACATGGGAATTGAGCATGATGTTAAATATGAGTTTGGATCAAAAATAATCTCAAACCCAAGTTCAAGCTCTAATTAAATAGCTCACTTAATTAGACGAATTGTGCTGGAGTTTAAACCAAAAAAAAATTAAAGAATTGAACTGGAAAAGATATTTAAATCTCGTAACAATCTCAAATGGATTCTGAAGAATCTTTATGAAAGAATAAGCCAAGTTCGAACAATTTAATGTTCGGCTGAGTTTGATTCGTTTGCACCCTACTCATAAATGTTGGGTGGGGACTCAAAAACTAAGCTGTTCAATGGTTGGGTATTTGAATTCCAGCTAAAGATATACTACATAATGCAACACATGGCCCTAATTGGTTTCCACCACCCTTGATATTAAACATGGGTTTGAATGTAATGTATTCAACTACTTGTGCAATCATGGAACTTCCTGGGCTACTGTGTCGTGCCCCCATGCACACTACCACGTGAACTTCACAAGGTATATCATTCCAAGTTACCAACAACCACTGCAATTTGGTACATTACATCCATACACTTGAAGTCACAGTTGTTTAGAATCTAAGAAGTACAAAACATGTACCTAACATGTATATGTTATTGGTTGCTTTATCTAGGGTCACCCCCAACCCCAACCCTCTAACAAAAGCAATTGTTCTTCTTTTTCTTTTTCTTAAAGGAGAGATCGTTTTTAGAATAGATAATGGTTTCATATCTTATCAAAGTCTAGAGATCTAAAGTTCAAATTTCACTAGCTCTCTTCTCTTATGACACAAAACAAAATAAAAAAGAATCACGTAAACGAACCACCTAAAGATGAATCATATGTTAGAGAAAGTAATAAATTTAATACTTATGGTGCACCATTTACTATCAGCTCAAGCTCTTAAAATAGCCCGTGGTTCAACCGTCTCAACCACCTAATTTTTTGATCCATAATTATAATGTAAAACTTGAAATAGCATAATCACCAACAAATCACATGCATTATAAAAATTCGAATTTTGTGCAAACAAAGAAAAAATCAAATTCAACGCGTGTGTACATGCACCTACCCACTTGTTTGATTGCTGAATCAATCCTTGAATCATTCTTAAAACACCAAGACAATCGAGAGAATTGTTAAAACATATATTAAAATAAGAAAAATGGTCAAGAGAATGCTTTAATTCCCTTTGCATTATTATGAAAGATTTGAATGATATGGTGGGTGATCATCATGTGCTTGACGGTGATCTGCCGACACCTCGCATATGTTGAAAATTTAACCCATATGTTGCAAATACATAATCATAAATAAGAGTACAAATCAATCAAAAAGTCATATTCAAACAAGAAACAATGATAACATCAGACATCATTAACCTAAGAGTACTGTGTTTTTAACGAAAATGTGTTGAGTATTTGAGTTACTATTGAATCTACTAAAGCAAACTTAGTACCATAAAATGAAAAAAAAATAATAATAATGAAAAAGATCAACCCTGTCTAATATATTCTCTCTCTATTTTATATCTTCATAAATTATTTATTATAAATTTAAAAAGAACTTATTGCACATAAATGAGTTCCCTTTAGTATATGTCAAGTATTCTACCAAAAAAATTGAAAAAAAAATAACACTAGAAGTTATTTAAATCGCCACAAGAAACAACGATGGACAGGACAAAAGCTGCAATTTCTATAGAGAAAGAAGGACTAAAGCTGCAATTTCTATAGGGAAAAAAGGACTAAACACCTAATGGTGTCACTTTGTCAAACTTAAGCTTCAATTAGACTTCAAAGCGACATGATCAGGTCACCCACTACTTGTTGATTCTACCTTTAATAAGCAAATCAGATATAATTGCTTTTTATTCATAGGGGACATTTTAATTCATGGTTGTTTGGTAATTTTGACTTCGAAATTATGTGGACCAAATGAAGTATTGGAGTCTGGTACTGAAAGGTAATTCATAGATATCATACCTTCACTTTCATATGGTAAATATTATTTTATTATATATATTATCTTATTTTTTGTATAATCAATGACTAAATCAATTTTTATAAGTACTCACGTTTATTTTGGGTACCGTCGATTTATCCAAAGTATTAGCTAGTTTCCCTCCTGATTGCTCTATTTTGTCAGCCTATACACATGCAGAATCATTTACGTAATTCCAAGTAAAGATTTTAATTATGTTTACTCGTCGTATTTTTTCTATAGATAGTAGCATTATATGGTTGGAACATATATCAGATTTTATGCCTCTTTTTTTGTTTTAGATATTCTTTTTTAATACAAAATTTCTATCGTTTATCTACAAAAAAAAAAAGTAAAGATTGTCATCACTGTGCACTCACAACCTCTTCAGAGATCATAACAAAGGTTAAGGGTTCAAAAAGTTTCATATTTTACATGGTAAGCTTAAGTTATTAGAGAATGTATAAAGAAAGTATTTATAATAGGCAATGAACTGAATTTGCATCAAACTGAATTTAGCAAATACAATCTGAATTTGCACAGATTATCTAATGGATTTTATTCAATAGTCCATATTTGAAAATTGTTAAAAAAAAAAATGAGAATTCAATTTGAAAACCCGAATTTTGACTTGAATAACTCAATTAAGCTGAATTCTAATAAAATATATTTGGATTTCAAATAAAATTTATCAAAACATTACTTCGATTTTATCATACGTTTTTGTACATAACCATACAATTTGGATCAAAACCCTCCTGTATCAGATTGTACATCCAACTTAATCCAAATCTATGAAATATAATAGAATCAATCAGGATTTGGAATAAAAATACAAATCCAACTTGGATTACTCAGTTTTGGAATTGATTCAAATCAAAGCCCATTCCCCCTCCCCCCCTCTTCTTTTGTGGACTCGATTTTAGTCAAACAAATGCAAGTCTTACAAATATTCAAACGTATCATCTACGATATGATCGTATGCCAAATTATCATCTAATTGAAGTGTAACATGACTAATTTAAAAGCTTGGTTGTTAGAAAGAGTATAAAATGAGTAGTCGTGTACTGGCTTTTTTAGTCACTGGACTTAATATCAACTCATAATCCAGAGAATGGATTTAAAGTATACCTGATCCTCGAACAGAAATAAGTAAGTTAAACTGTATGTTTGACATGCTGATTCGAGACACACACAGAGAGATGCGATCGGTTGATGTGGTGAGTGGGGACAGAGAGACAAGAAGGGTGCGGAGTTAGGAGAACCGGGGCTTAGCGGTCACCTGTCTATCTCACTGCCACCCCTTTCCCCGACCCAACTTCAATGGTGTCCCTTATTTCATTTATTTCAAAACCGACAATTGTCCTAATTTTCCCCCCTCTCTCTCTCTCTCTCTCTCTCACACACACACACATACCTCATTTATATATACTCAACCTTCTTAAAACTAATACCCCATTCACTTTGAACCCCATTTAGTCTCTGAGTTTTTTTTTTTATTTCTTATTATTGGTACAAACTTGTTTGTTTCTTTTCTGTGATATGGAACTTGAACTTAGTCTTTCCCCTCCAAACCATAGTCCCTTGACAGGTTTCGACCTAAAAAACGTTTTCCAAACCAAAGAGATGGTGAGAAATGGCTCTTCTTTGGAAAGCAAAACCTCAGTGAAAAACAAACCCAGTTTTGCTGAGGACTTTGAGAACTGTGGAGTTGGAACTGAAACTTTGCCTTTACTGTTGTGGAATGACCAGCCAAACGAGGAAGAAGATGATCTCAGGCGACAAAAGAGGATAACATCTGACACCAACCGCGAGTAAGTGTTCAATGAGATTGTGCTTCTTCACTTTGCATGCACAGTTCCTATGATTGGAGTTCACCATGCCAATATACAATTGTAGGGCCTGTGCATTTAAATGTATAAAACCATTGATTTTTAGAAAAGCTCTTCAAAATCTAAGGGAAAAGAGTACAAATCATTTATTCAAACTGTATGGTAGTATTTTGATAGATAGTGTACATTGTACTTCAATAAAAGTAGTACAATGCACGAGACTTCTGTTATTTCAGATATGAGATGAAACATTTGTAGCTAGCCTCAACTGCATGCAAAGAGAGTTATTTCGTAACACAAACTCGTAACGTATAAATCATAATGGAATAACCTTAATGTTGCGACAAAATACACCATTTTAGGTCAGCAAATTAGGTGTAATGTTGCGACAAAACACACCATTTTAGGTCAGCAAATTAGGTGTAAGTAGCATTGCTGTTTTCTTGATTTTGATGTTGCTCGATTGTATATCTTTGTTTGCAGTACCAAACTATAGAGGACTTAGTAATCATGTCCAACTTGGTAAAAAATGCAAAGGATCCTACTCTAACATCAATCTTCTGAACATGTGATAGATGTGGAGAAATAAATGATCATCTGGTGGGGTGGCCACCTATTAAGTCATGGAGGAGAAAATTACTTCATGAACATCAAGGCGGTCGGATCGCAAACCATCGGACAGCAGAGAGGGGAAATGGCGGAACAAAATCCATGTATGTTAAAGTGAAGATGGAGGGGGTGGGCATAGGAAGGAAGATTGATCCAAGGCAGTATCATTCTTATCAGACACTTTCAAACTCCTTAATCAACATGTTTGTGAAAAGTAAGTGACATTAGAATTTGTATACTGCCCATATTCTTTGAAATCAATACAAGGTTTTGAAACTGATTGGGTTGTACACTTGCAGACCCCAAATGTGAAGAAGATGGTGCACATTATACCCTCTTGTATCAAGACAGAGAAGGAGACTGGTTGCTTGCTGGAGATATTCCATGGCAGTACGTATCTTCTCAGCTCTATTTTCTCGCCCTTCATTTTGTTCATTTGTTTGCTTTGCTGCATCAAAAAGTAGCATTTTTCCGAGTTAAATCGATATCATTGCCTTAGAAAAGAAATAGTATATACAACGAAGATCAAATGTGACTCAAAAGCTTCCCGAGGTATATTTTGAGGAAAGTTACTCAGGGTTCAAACAATCATGTCTAGGGTGAGTACCACCCTGAAAAAAGAAAATAACCTACATCTATATATATATATATATATATATATATATATTAATGTTGTTTCGTTCTATTAAATTGAGGCTCATAGACTGCTCACATCCTAACCCGTCATCAATGACTGGCTTGCTCAACAGACCTTTTTTTTAATATCTACACATCTTAGATTAAAAAGTTTTTAACTTAATATTTTTTATAAATTATATTTTTTAATTAAAAATACAGTTAAAATAGATAAAAATTAAATAATTAATAATTTTATTTATGAGTAGAGGAAAAACTGTAATAAATATGCCACCTAATTTTTTTTTTTTTAAGAGGAATATAACACTTAACTTTCGATAGTAAATTTTTTTTCAAACAAAGTGAGTGGATTGGCAGGTGGGGTGGGGTTGGATGGAGCAGGTTCTTGTACCGGGTTTTTGTAGGTGGGCTGATGGGCCGAGTAGTCTCTTTTGAAGGATATTGGACTCAAATTTGAAACAGACCAACTATTGGACTATTTTTGGGTCGGATAATGAGTCTCGTGAGCCAATCCAACCCATAGACACCACTTTTCACCATCGTTATAAAAAATAAAATAAAATTTGGCTACGCAAAACATATGGAATCTGGAGATAAAGCCAAACAAATAAAATAGATGTCTTAGCAAATGGTGATCTTGCTTAAAAAAATGCTTAAAAATGAAAAACAATGTGATATATCCACTAGTTTAATTACTTGTGAAAAATGACTTTTAAACTTAAACGTCATGAGTTCGAATTTTGATAATTCTTTAGAGTCTGTCCATGAGTGATTTATGAATATCATAATCTTAGTGTGGATGATCTACCTTTGACTGGATCAAAAAAAAGATTAATTAAGGTGCATATAAGCTGATTCGAATATCCCTAATCGTTGAACCAAAAAAAAAAATTACTTGCGACTTTGACTTTGATATTACTAAGTGCGACTATCACTCTCTCGGATTCATTTTCACTAATGAATTTTCACTTAACAAATATGATGTTAGAAATACAAATTTATCACATTCTTTTTATGTATTGGAGAAAAAAAATTAAATGTTATAGTTAAAGTATATCGACCCGAGATTAAATTCTTAATTCCGCCCCCTGCTTGTAAGACAATATTCCCACGAACCCAAAACTAGACAGGGAATCCTCTGTCACATCTTGATAAGTTAGGATACTTTTTACTTTTTTAGCATTGAACTATTTCAATTCAATTTAGACCCCTACCACCCGAGGGTTTAGGCCGAAGTCTATTATTCCTAAGGTGGTTTCGTTTTCTAAACTTAGGGTTGGTCTATGCTTCTCTACTTTAAGTGAGTCACTTGCAAGTATTTACATATAGGACAGAGTTATACCCACGTAAAACCTCTCATTTATGTAAGTCTTGCTTGGAGGTATATTTTCCTAGTCTCTTCCCTTGATGAGTCTCCAACAATACTACCTACAAGAACTTAGCGATCCAACAATGATAGATGTATGATGTGTGACAAATCAAAAAACATTCATCAGACTAATTATCCAACAATTGGTGGATTATTGAATATTTTGAGTATGACCTTGGCATACTTGCAAAAGTTCACCATAATTCAAAATTTATATGGACATTGTTGATTAACTTTACATGTCAATACGTAATATTGACTAATAAACTTCAGATATGCATGCCACTAAATATGTTCATAGTAATTGCGATCTAATTCTTGATATGGGACTAATGTTTTTACAGAAATTTTATCGAGGTCGTGCAACGTATGAAGATACTAAGAAATGCTGGTTAACAAGTTGCAGATTATTATCCAATATATCAGTATATTACTTTTGGCAAATCTTCTTCACTTGTATGGAGTGATTGTATCAAAAAAATTAGAGCTATGTTAAAAATACCTTGTAACATTTGAAAGTAACAAGTGAGATAGTTACTCTTTGTTTCTTGTATACTAGGATTTGTAGAATGTATTGTGATATATGTGCATTCCTTGCAAGTGATTCAAAGCTCAAATGCAGCACAAATAGTCCGACACAATCGAGATCAATTTGAAACCACTCTAGAATAAATAGTTCAAGCCTAGTTCTCAAGAGAGGGACTTATTAAGGATAGATTCAATAGTTTCATTTTCTTATTGGATGGAAACAATACGTGGTGATAATAACATGGTGTCGCAATTTCTTTGAATATTTTCTTCACTAAAAGAATCAGTTACACTTTATTTTATTTTTTTTTGGGTTGAAAGAAACAATATGCATTCGATTAATTAAAAAAAATCATAAGGAGGAAAGGCACTATGAAATCAGGTGCACTACCTCTCATACATCAGAACAATCAACAAATTTTTAATTTCTACCTAACTGGTGTGCTATCTTATTGCCAGTTCTTCTTATAATGAAAATGTCGAAAGAAGGAAAATTATGTAGAGCATTCCTAATATCAGCTACCACCATACCCATCTGATCAAAATCTATCTCAGAATCAATTGGATGGTTCATAACCGTAGTGGAGTCTCCCTTCAAGGCAATTCCTTTGCATCCCTGCTGTCTTGCAAAAAAAAAAGCTTTTCTTGCCGCTAAGATCTCCGCTGTCAGGGTTCACAAAGGGAATTAATTTTCTTCGACAATCCAGCCATATACATTCCTCTTTCAGCTCTTATTACTACACCCACACCAATAGCGTCATCCGATTGGAACACTGCTCCATCAAAATTTATTTTCATTGAACCTGCTTTTGGAGGTTCATCGTGTTGATGCTTCTACATGTGCAGCTGTGTTCCTAGATTCCAGAGCCTGTTCATATTGCTTGAGGAAATCCACTGCAACTTGACATGTAGAGGCAAGGTCTTGCTTCAAATTCTAGAAGAGCACTCTGTTCTTGTTGTTCCAAATCAACCAACAATGAACCAAGAAGAGGGAAAATAGTTGATAGTTTATTCTTTGTGACATCTCCACTAAACCAGCAAGATATTTGGCCCAAGGGAAATTGCACGAACTGCTTTACTGGGCTATTATCCAAGACGTCCTCGCCCAAGCACAATCCTTAAAAAGATACACTACAGTCTCTGCCTCTTCCTTGCAAATACAACATAGATCATCACTTCAAATTGTCCGACACATGAGATTCACATTAGTATGAAAAGCATTTAAAGACGATCTCCAAGCAAAAAATTTATTTTGTTTGGTAATTTCTAACTCCTTGTAAAATTCCAATTATTCTCCGAGCTTTACAAGGACCCTCTTGCTGCACTATCCGAACTAAAAAGCTCGTTGTAATAACTCAAATAGCACGCACTGCAAACAGAAAACTTTCCCTTCAAATTGTAATGTCATATCAACTTATCCCCCATCTGGGTGATACTTAGAGGGATACGCATAATCACTTCAGCTTCATGTGCCATAAAAACATCTTTAATCAGCTGTTCACTCCACTTTCGGGTATGCTGGTCAATAAGGTCACTCATCATTGTTTCCTCAGTCAAAGTGTTTCTTGGAGTGACAACTTGAAAGGTGGTTAGAAGCAGGAATCCACCTATCATGCCACACTTTAATGCTGGAACCCCCTCCAACCCTCCATCGAGATCCAACTTCTATCATTTTCCTTGCTTCAATGATGCTTCGCCAAGAATATGAAGGTTGCTACCCTAGTTTGGCCGACATGAATGAATTGGTTGGGAAATACCTGGCTTTAAGAACTTGGTGAAGAAGGGTTTGGGTTCCATGGTGCACTCTCCAAGCTTGTTTAGCTAGCATAGCCATGTTAAAGGTCCTCAAATCCCGAAACCCCATACCTCTTATATTTTTGCTTTTACTCATGTCAGCCCATTTCACCCAATGAATTTTATTCTAGCCATCTTTTTTCCCCCCCAAAAGTTGGTTGTTGAAGACAGATATTTTGGAAGTTTAAAAAAACTCACCAAAAGTCAGGATTGATTGGACTACTGCTTTGATTAGGACCTCCTTTCAGGCTCTAGAGAGTAACTGATCCTTCCATCCTTGCAATTTGTTCCAAACCCTCTACCTAATGTTCGCAAACACCTCTTTCTTGGATTTAACTACAACTAATGACAATCCTAAATACTGTTCATGTTGCTGAACACGAAAAATGCCAAGTATAGTCATTAACTCATCGGCCTTACTATGAGACACGTCTCTGCTACAGACCATAGTTGATTTCTCCAGGTTGATTTGTTGACCAGATGCTATCTCATATAATTGTAACAGATTTTTAATCGATGTGCTCTCTGATATGGAGGCTTTGAAAAATAATAAGCTATCATCCGTAAAGAATAAGTGAGATATGTTGGGACACCCTCTTCCAAGACCTGTGATCAGTTGATTCCTTTCGGCATCTTTAAGTAATGCCGACATACCCTCTGCACAAATAACGAAAAGGTAAAATGATAAAGAATCTCCTTGACAGAAACCCCTTCTAGGATGGAAAAAGTCTGTATGTTCGACATTCAATAGCAAGGAATATGGGACCATCTTGACATATTGCATAATCAAATGGATTCAACGTTGATTAAAACCTAAAGTTCTCATCATTCCTTCTAAGAAAATAAATTCAACTCTATCATATGCTTTACTCATATCTACCTTCAATGAAACATACCCCTGCTTCCCCCTAGTTTTGCATTTTAGATAGTAGTTAATTTCAAAGGCAACCAAAACATTATCCGTTATCATTCTACAAGGAATAAAAGCAATTTGGTTCTCAGAGATTATGAAATGAAGAAAAAATTTTAGCCTATTTTCCAAAACCTTAGAGATGATTTTGTAAAGTACGTTGTAGAGACTGATAGGCCTAAATTGGGACATGGACTCGGGATTTTGATTTTTAGGAATAAGCACAAGATGGGTGTAGTTTAACTTATACGGGAAAATATCACCATTCAAAAAAGATAAAACAAAATCAAGGACATCCGACCCTACCACTTTCCAGTACTTTTCAAAGAAAAGAGCTGGCAATCCATCAGGGCTGAGGACTTTAGTGGGAAACATTTGTAAGTGAACTAGCAATACCTCATCAGCTCTAAAATGTTGCACCAACCTTAAATTCATCTCATTACTAACTTTGTACTCTAGTTTGCTAAGAACAGCTTCCACATCGGTATCATGTGGCCTAGAGGATTTGAAAACATTCTTAAAATACTTAATGGCTACCTCTTCAATTTTTGCCAAATTTTTGCACCATTTACCATGTTTGTCTCAAGGCTTTTCAATCCAATTTTTCCTTTTTCTATGCAAAGCCCTTGCATGGAAAAAAGCTGAATTTATATCTCCCTCTTAAAGCCAATTAATTCGAGATATTTGCCACCAATAAGTCTGTTCCGAATCCATCAGACTGTGTAGCTCATTTTTTAGAACCTACTGTTGGCGTATTGAATCTGCTGAAATTATACTCTCATGGATGCTTGCTAGCTTATCCTTTAACTTCTTGACTTTGGTGAGAATATGGCTTACTTGCTCCTTATTCCATTTAAGTAAGCCCACTCTACAGCTCTAAATTTTCTTGATCAGACCCTCCATAGACAGACGAGAATCCCTTTAGTTCTAAGTATATTTGATTACCTTCTCAAAATCACTTTGTTTTATCCAAGCTGCTTCAAAACTAAACCTCCTACTGCACCTAGAGATAGAATTAGATGGTTCTATATCTAAAATGACTTTGTCAATGTTGGACATCCTGCTATGCTTATGAATAACACAAAGAAAGGGAAAAGACTCCATTCCATCATTACTAGCACAAGCTTTATCCAGCCTTTCCCATACCGTATGGGGGTATAACCAGTTATTGCACCATGTAAATTGATAGCCTATGCAACCCAGATCAATCAAGGCACACCTGTCCAAGGCTTCTCGAAAATTCCTCATTTGCCAATTGGGCCTATCCCAGCCCCCTTCCTTTCACTACTTGTGAGAATCTCGTTGAAGTTACCCACACATAACCAAGGTAAATTACTCCTCCTACTTAATTGGCGAAGTAACAGCCACGTTTTTTAGCGTTTCGAAACCTCGGCATCTCCATAAAACCGCGTAAAACGCCAGCCCTTTTGCTCGTTAGTTCGAACCACTAGAACATCTATATGTGTTTGTGAAAAATTTTGCAAAGAAATACAGATGTCCTTCTGCCACAACAATGCCAAACCTGCTGACAATCCATCCGAATCCACAGATACCCCAAATATTCTAAACTAATTTTTTATTCTCTCAATATTATCCATTTTGCACTTAGTTTCTATCAAAAATACAAAATTACGCCTCTCCTTCTCCAATATAAAAAAATATTGGGTAATTAAATTTTTAATTTTGATACTTATTTATATCTAAATACATTATTTAAATTTTATTGATTTTTTTGTGACATTTTTGTCTTTCATTAATCTATGTGTTTTTCCTTTAGAAAGTAGTGCATTAAATATCTTCTAGTTGTATGAGAAAACTTTAATACATATATATATGCACCTTGATACATATATATACTTGTTGTTATATCTCATATCTAAATTTTGAATTATTTTTAATACACCTTAATTCATGCGTATTTTTTTTTTTTTTGAAAAGTGATTTTGTTTTCAAATTATATTTAATGCATCTTGATTCATGCTTTTTTTTTTAAATAGTTTTATTTTTAAATTAATTTAATATTCGAATAGTGTAATAATATAAGAAAAACAGTGTAACAATAACAGTATAACAATAAAAGTGTAACAAGTTATTTACACAAAATATTATACTATTACATTTTGTCAAACATATAATTTCATTCAAAATAGTCCATCTCCGTTTT